GATTTATAATTCTCACATTTATAATTGAGTTATTAGTGGAATTTAAAAAGAGTGATTCTTGTCACCAACCCACAAAAATGAATAATTGGCCAAGAAAGCTCAAATGAGCAACGCGAAAAGAGTTGATTGAGTTTCATTAGAAATATTTAATTGATTTGAAAGGAATATTTTTTTATTTTTTATATTACACTCTTAATGTATCAAAAGTGTTGTAACATGAATCGTGTTAACTTCCATTAGTTTTTTTGTTAAAAGTCAACTCATTAATATTGACGAAAAAACTAACGAAAAATTAATAGATGAGTCACATTGTAACACTTTTATTATATTGAATATGTAATGTGATAAATTTAATATTTGAGAGTGTAAAATTAAAATCTTAAAATATTGTAGGGTGTAAAATACAGTTTGCCCTATAATTGATCTATTATTATAGTGTGTAAGTTGTAAAAGCACAACAATGATCAAGATTGATCTAATTTTTATCTACTTTGGTCTAATGGTATAAAATTTATCCCAATTTTTTTCCTGCTAAAAAACATATATTCTCTAAACGGCCTTTAATGTCAAACAACTCAATTAACACATCAATACATTATCTAATGTCAAACAATCTCATTAATCTATACATACCTCTTTTTTTTCTCTCTTAATTTTAATTTTAAATTAAATAATTTAAAAAAGAATTATATTATTTTAAAATTTAATATTATATAATTAATGTTCTATTTTTTTAGATTTTGAAGATTTGAAATTTATGCAAGAGCTTGTTTTTAACTCAGTTTCAACTCAAGCTTGTACCAAGGCGGGCTTGAGTAATAATTTAGGTTTGAAATTCAAACCCGAGCTGAGCTTAGACACCCCTCCAAAGATTCGAGTTGAACTTGAGCAAACCGAAGCCACATAGGCTCGATTAACACTCTCTCTCTCCTCCACACAGATTTATAAACACACACACACACAAATCACACGAAACACACCCACATAAATTACGAACACAATCACACAAATCTACACACATTTATTGCACACACAATGATTAAATTAGGACATCCTCAAATATTTGGTCAATTCTTTATTATTCTATTTTAAATTTTTTCAATATTCTAAATATTTTTTATTATTCAATTATTATGTTATTTAATTTCTTATTATTATATTCTTACTTTGTTTGATTAACAATTTATTTGTTTATTTTTTTGATAAAAAATTTTCAATTATTTTATGTGTATTTATTGAATTTGTTATTATTCAATTGTTTCTTTATATTGGACTATTTATTTATTTATTTAATTTACTATTTTTTTGTTGATAGTGTGAAGGTTAATTGTCATGACTTCTTCAATATTTTTAATTATCAATTTCTTTGTATTATATTAACTATTTTGGTGGGTCATGATAATAATTTGACTTATAATTTTTTTAAAAAAATAAAGAGTGATATGGTAAAACTGAAAATTATTTTATTTTCAGACATCAGTTCTGTGTAGTTATCAAATAGTTTGGTTCAATTCGCACTTAAATTTCAGTGGACACCAAACAATTCACAAATTAAAATTCAATATTCAAATTTCAATTTTATCAAACAACACCTAACTCATACGATTTTCTTGCAGGACTTCATAGTTTACTAGATACCGGTGATTTTATGCATCCTCAATTTGTGTTGTAAATATTAGTCTAGAAGTTGGGTCCGTGTTCCTTTTAATTGCCAAACTTTGAAAATTCTCTTGCATTCTTACCTCTTCTAACACTTCTGTTGCACCTAACTTTACAAGTTGGGTCCATGTTCACCCTCAACATTTCCTCAATTTTATGCATCCTCAATTTGTGTTATTCGATATATTTATAAATAGCAGTGGTACATGTCGTATTGGTATAATAGTACACAACAATGTCACACTGATACAAGCTAATATCACACTGTTGTGAGAATGCAGTCGTACATGACATCTTTGATTTTTTTTGACAAATGATCAAACACTTGGTGTGCATGTAATACCAAACACCAGAAGTAAAAAGATAATTGAGGGGAAAAAATATTGATAAAATAAAAACGTTTAGAGAAACAACGTTTTTCTTGAGTTATCGACTTATTTTCCAAAAATTTCAACGATCTCAACCGTCGTTCTTCTCTACAATGCACCTTTTGTTCTTTAACGACTGATGCTCTGTGTGGTATTAACAGTTTAATGTCGAGTTTTTCACTTCTTCATTATGAAAACCTTAAAAAAACGATTTTTAAATGATGATTTTCAAAGAATAGTGGTTTTAGGAAGTTTTGTCATCCTCATTTGAAGTTTTCACAATCCCGCGATAATGGTAGAATTATGCATAACTATTATCTATTTCTTTCTTTTCGGAGGTGTACTCACTTATTTAAGAAATTGTTCAATTTCTACAAAAAAAAATGGGTATTTTAGATTTTGAGTATGACATGCGTACTTTTTTACCGATATTTTCAATTTGTGGTACTTTTTGCTTAATATTTATAATAAATGATACCAGCCCCCTTAATTCTCAAAAAAATAAGAACAATGTTATTAGAACTTAATTTACTAATATAATTTGTTGACCTAATTCACTATAACTTTTGGATTCACTATAGACCCCATCAAATATTGAAACTTGGTATTGATCCAATAATTTTTATGAAACCAATTATTATATCAATAAATTAAGTTCAAATAGCATTATTCAAAAAATAATTAAGAAGGCTGACTAAAAAGGTCATATTGGGCTGGACCAACCAAGCCCAGCAGATTAACTGTGGCAGCAATTGAATTGAGGCAAATTGCCGGTGTCTACCGAGGTGAAATTATGATTTTAGACTTCACAAAAGTGGGTTAATTTCCCAAGCACAAACTCCAATTGGACTCATGATTTATTTATTTATTTTTAGGTTAATTGTATTTTATCTCCCTTTAGTTTTGGCCAGAATTATCTCATCTATTTGACGTTTAAAATTATGCATATTTCCTCCTTATAGTTATGTACCAAAATAAAAAGATTACTTTTATTATCAAAGTTAACGAAGATTGTGTTCTACATATCCAAAATATGTTATGGTCTTTGTTTTCCATTGTCTTCTTCCAAAAGAATATTGTCAAAGTGTCCAAAATACCCTTTTTAATATATGATATAATACCTGAATATGTAGGATATCGATCACAGATAAAAAAATATGTAAGAAAAATATAAGTAATTTTTTATTCCAGAACAAAACCTCACATGAGGGAAAAAGAGACTTGATATTTTTGATTGAAATTTGTTGGTTTGTTGTCATGTTCCATTAGTTTTATGGTCAAGAATAAATCAGACGAAAAGTTTGATTTTGAAACGTGGGTATTATGGTAATTTTTTAATTTCATTAATAACGTGAATTATTTCACTTTGGTACATAATTATAAGGGATGTGCATAATTTTAAACATCAAGTAGGTAAGGTGTTTCTAGCCGGAATCACATGATGATAAAAAACAATTAACCCTATTTTTTTTAATAAGAAAAATAGAATTATATTTGAGTTTGGGCTTTAGTGTTGAGCCCAAAACGGCTCTCGTTGAGCTTCGTCCAAAGATTTTGGCAAGGCCTAAACATTAACAAAGTTGAATTCAGGTATACTGGCCCAATTAATACGATTAATCAAGTTCTAAAATAATTCTTTCCAATATTGAGAATTTTTTTTATGAATGGGTTTACATAACAATTCAACAAAACTTGATATTAACTTTTCAGGGGTCAGTTTCGTAAATTTGATCATGTCATTTTACTTTAATGGGGTCTTATTTTCCGTTCAGCAAGGAACTAAAATATTTTTAAAAAAGAATATCCAAATCTCAGCCACCTTATGTAAAGGAAGGGCATTATAGTAACTTGAATTTTTCCTAAGGTGAATGACACTTTGCATCCTAAAAGATTCCCAAATTTATAATTTATGTCTTAAAAAAAGATTAAAAATTTCACATTATACAATCAAGTAAAAGAACCAACGATATAGTTCAAAAGTAAATATTTTGATGCCTTTTCTAACGAATTTTTTTTATGCGCCATAAGATCCTATTTTTGATACACAGTCATTTACACAATACTCAATTTAAAGTATTTTAAATAGAAATTTGATACTCAATTTCTCTAAAATGGAGTACATTTATACTGTATTGTTTGATTAAGGGTGTAGTCTGAAATTTTAGTTTTTCAGTGTATAAATTAAGAATAGTGCTAATCTCAAATTGTACTTGGAAAGATGATTTAAATTTTAATTTACACCTTTAAAGTTTAAAAATATTAATTTACATTCTGAAATATATAAATTTATATCAATGTGCATTGGGGTTAATTGCCATTTATTTTGCAGTTAAAAAAGTTTGGGGTAATTGCAAATTGTTCCTTCAAATTTAAATTTATGATCCAAAAAAAAATTTCATCTATTAATACTAGTTAAATACATTAATACTTGTTATTTTCTTGTCGAGTTAATTGCATTGTATTGTATATTTCACATTTAAGATAATTAACATAACACTATTTAAAAAAAACTTATTTTTTGCCTACAATACTTATTAAATAGTTATTTTTTCCTTAAAGTTAGGCACAACACGACATAATTGAAAGTTATTTAACGAATATTAATGGATATAATTATTTTTGGATCATAAATGTGAAATATTTAAACTTTGAGGGTGTAATTTATAATTAGTCTAAACCTTTTTAATGACAAAATGGATAACAGCTAGCTCCAGGTGTATATTGATACAAATTTATGTTTTTCAAGATGCAAATTAATATTTTTAAACTTTGAAGGGATTTGTCGGGTGCAAGTTGAGATTAATCTCTTAAGAATACGAATATTTTTGGGGTCTAAAGTGTTATTTATCTTTTTCCGGATGCAGAGCTCCCAATTCTCACGTGCACATCACGTTTTGCTCTCCGGGTCCAACGTTCAACAACGATAAAATGCACGCTGAATCAAACTATTTATACCGGCAAAAAAAAAAGAATTAAACTATTTATAGCTTTCTCTCCTGAAGCTCGAAGAAGAAGAGCCGATTTCTTTGAATCCTTACACTATGAAGAAGCTCATCTTCCCTTTTATCCTCTGCTTCTCTCTCTATCTATCCTCGTTTTTCCGCCTTACGATTGCCAGAGGCGGCGAACCGAGCCCTAATCGTTCAGGTTCCTTTAATATTTATGTCAAATTGTGTTACTTATAATTTCCTCCTGTTTGGCTGTCCTAAATGAATGAAAAGAAATTGTAATTAGTTTAGGAAATGATTTTTTCTGGGTAGATGGAAGGTTTGTTAATCCTGAATTTATGGTGATTGTTGACTGATTGTGAATTTGTAGCTGTATTCATCATGATTAGTTTATTAGATTCCCTATACAGTGCTAATTGTTGTAACATGAGGAACAGTGATAATTATAGAAGTCGTAAAGTAGCAGTTATTTAATTACTTTTAATAGGCAAAGTTGTTAAAACGTGTATCGTAATGTATTCGGTATTATAAGATACTAAAATACGTGCACTTTTATAAAAGATATTAAAAATAAATATACTTATGACAAAATATCATAATAAAATTTCATTGCACCATAAATTTATCACAAAAAACAATTTAAAGAAACTACAAAGACAAAAATAAAAATTAACAATCTAAGTCTTGAAGTTCTAACATAATTCATCAATATCAAAATTTTGCTAGTTATAGTTCTACCATCTAAAGTAGTTAGAGGAGGACACTTTTAACGATCACACTATTTGCTCTCGCGATGGAACAAAAAAAAAAAAAAAGACTTTAAGTGAAATGTGTCATTTTCTAGTTAAAATTTGACAAAATTATTTTTGATTTGTTTCCCATCGCATCAGGCAACTTTGTATGTATCATCTTGTATCAAGTATATCGTATCGTGTATCATATGATACGGTGCAAACCGATACACTTTAGTAATACGTATCATTTTTTTCATATATCAAAATGTATCGTATCGCGTATCATACGATCCTAACAACTATGTTTGTAGGTAGTTATATCTTAAAATCATATATCTATAAAGAGCCTTTATTGAAAATTGAGAAATTTGATTCGGTAGTAATTCTTTGCGTTAAGTTTTCTTTGACGCAAATGCTGCCTCAAAGAAGTAAGTCATACCGTTCAATTAGCTCATTTCAGTGGAGATTATCAGAATGCCTGGTTGAAATATTTGTTTCTTTGCTTCTAACTAATTATCAAGGTTCAAAATATCGTTTCGAAACAGTTGAAACATCCGAAACGTTTTCGTTTTTAAGGAGACCGAAACGAAACAGTGATGAAATCGAAATTCTAATATTTCGAGGTATTCCATAATGTTTCGAGATATATTATAATATTTCAATGCATTTGCACAATTATTTCGGAATGTTTCAAGGTATTTCAAGATACTTTGATATATTTCAATCAATATATTAAAAAAATAATTTTTAAATTTTTTATTTTTTTATTATGTTTCCGAAACGGGTTAAAACGTTTCCGAAACACATTGGAACGTTTCCGTTTCCTAGGTGACCGATACAATACACCGAAACGAAATTTTGATCCTTGCCAATTATTGATACTAACTTTGACCCCGACTTGTAATATTAAGCTTGAAGTTCAATTGATAATCCTATAGTTTTACATCTTGAATTTCCAATTAATTGAAGTTTATTCATTTATTTCTCTTTCTTGTGTTAATTGTTTTGTGTTTTCAGCAGGTTTCGTCGAAAATAGTTCTGTGGGTTCATTAAGGCAATTGTTGGAAGAAGACCACTTTCGGAAACTGTATTTTTTGAAACTATTCCATTTGACTCTTCCAATTTATTTTAGTATTTTGCTATGTTATTTGAGTTTGTGATTGAATGAATGTACTAAATTTGTGCTGCAGTGAAAAGTTAGCTCGTGGTTACATGTCTAATTCTGAAGTCGAGAAGGCTATCAAGGCATTTGTTGATAGATGTAGTCACATATCCAGGATTTACAGGTAATTTCATTACATAAAGAGTTTTGCATGTTAGCCACTGGAATGGAATTTAATTGCAATGTACTAAAGAAGTAGATAGAGGAACTAATCTGCAGTTCTTTGAGCTGTCATTCATGTGGGATCAATACATTAATTGATGTATTGTGTTGTTTAAAGGCATGTAACTATGATTATTCTGACTCATTCATTTTCTCTCTTTGAGGGATTTTTGGAATTTTCAATCAGTATTGGAAAGAGTGTTCTAGGATTTCCACTGGTATTACTTCCGCCGATGCTAGTCCATTACTCAATTTATGACTTTTTTTTTGCTCTCTTAATTTGGTGCTAAGAATCAATCAATACTTATTCTCTGTTGTTTGAATTATTTATTGCAGTGGGTGATGGAAATTTCTGACAAGCCTGGGGAGGAGGAGGCTGAACCTGCTTTTAAGGTAATGATCTCCTAACAAGCAATTGTGACTTTGTTTTATGTTTTACTTGTGCAAGTAGTGTGAAAAATTCAATATAATGGCAAACCGTTATGTATCTATACGAATACGATACATATCTTACCATACATTTTGATATGGTGAAAAGCCGATGCACACTTTTTTTTTTTTTTTTTATAATTTGGTATTGTAGATAGTGAAACAGGAAACAACAACTTGGTTTTACCCTAAACAGTGAGATTACGTCCTTTTTATAGCATATTTTTTCATTTTGGTTTGATTTCAAACAGTCGAAGTCCATGATTATCTTCTTTTGTGATCCTATTCTACTTCTCCTACATCGTATTCTTTTTTTTATTTTCCAAACCGATGAAATCCTTAGCTTATTTTGATCTCTGTCGCGAAGACGAGGTGTTGTCTCTCTTTCGATTTCTATCTCTAATATGCATTGCATGAAATGATAAGTGAATTGAAATAGTGTTTATTTTATTTTGGAGCTATATATTTACATATTTATGGGCATATATATTTATCAATACATTATTTTAAAAGTGAACGNGACGAGGTGTTGTCTCTCTTTCGATTTCTATCTCTAATATGCATTGCATGAAATGATAAGTGAATTGAAATAGTGTTTATTTTTTTTTTGGAGCTATATATTTACATATTTATGGGCATATATATTTATCAATACATTATTTTAAAAGTGAACGCATCTTACGATGCATGATATATTATTTTTAAAAAATGATACGCATTCCGACACACATTTTGACTTCCTTGATTAGAACAATGTTGGTCCACACATTGGATGGTTCAATATACAGGGTCGGAGCTACGTTAGGACAAGGGGGGCACTTCCTCCCCTTGACTTTTTAATCTATTTTACATATTACCCATTACTTTGTTGAATTTATTAAATTCCCCCCCCCCTCTTTAATTTGTTGAAAATTGGTAATGTAAATTAAGTTAGTAGTCCATTGTCCCCCAAAACAATATTTTATTTTTTTTGATTAAACAAAAAATATGTGAAATGTCATAACCGATATATATATATACTCACTAAACATTTTTGGATTTTTTTGCTCATATTTATTTAGGATAAATAGAAACTAGTTTCATTGAATAATTTAGTCTTAAATCTTATATATTTTGTCATGTTTAGATTTCATTTTTTTTGTATTGATTGTGTACATATGACTCTTCCCAAACCCCGCATGAACGGGAGCCTCATACACTAGGCCACTTTGATGAATTTCTTTTGACCCCCACCCTTCAACGTGAAATGCGGGCTCTGCCCCTGTGTGTGTGTGTATAATTATACTAAAACCATTTAGCCATCCAATAAGTGTGTTGACATCCATATTATTGTCATTACATGATAATTTGACAGACCGTATATGTAAAGCAATTGTTGTTGTGACATAATGGTAATATAACCATGTGCCGGTCTCTCTTTCTTTTCCTTTTTTTCCTGCTCAACCAAACAGTGCAGGGAAGAGAATTCTCTTCTTGTTCCTTTTTTGCTTCATTTTTCTCCTTTTTATGCAGTGATTTATCATAAAAACTAGTTATACTTACCAATGGGCCTTTGGTCCAATGGTACTCTTTGCCTTGTGAAGGCTTTGCTTTCTTGAGGTTAAGGGTTCAAGTCCCCCTTCCCCCTCCCCTCCCATCCCAAATAAATTAAAAAAAAAAAAGAAAAAAAAAGTTATACTTCACGTCTAGGAAGTTAAAGTTAAGCTTCTGGGTGCCACTATTGTGTGCCCCTACTTGAAAGCATTTTTATTTTTGGTTGTTCTCTTACATAAGTTAATTATTATTAGAAAAAAAAGATGTCTTTGGACCCCAATACATGCTATGAAGGTGTTGGTGATTGATCTGTTCAGTAGCTTGGATATTGCAGTTCATTGGAAATGTGCATGGGGATGAACCGGTAGGCCGTGAGCTTTTGTTACTCCTAGCAAATTGGCTATGCAATAATTATATGAAGGATCCATTGGTAATTTTTTTTCCCCCTTAGCTGTACCTGGTTCTCTGGTGAACTTGTTTATATCAGTGTTGATAGTTTATGCAAATCTTGCCCCAATTTGGTGCAGCTTTGCTCTGTCTTGATATTTTAATGTTTTTTACAATTAAGTTATGGTACTTGTTCTATAGTTAGCTTTTGGTTGACTCTCGTATACTTGTAGTTCTTGTACAAGCTTCAAGTTGTCTTGTCAATTGTCATGTTGCAATTTTGATCTTTTCATCTACCAGATTTATCTCATCTAAGAATGACTATGTTCCGCCTAAAGATATATTTTACTTAGCGAAGATTGGCACATCATGAGGCCCTTGACATCATATCTCATGTTATATTTCTCAGGCAATATTACTTCTTGCTGGATAGTCATCTTCGTATACATGATTGCACATCCACCCAATTGATGCTTCGTTTCAACTGAACCCACTTGTTGTCTACATTTGTCTATGAATATATACATCACTTCATTTTTTAGGATCGTTTCATAGCAATAATGCTTTTGTAACTCATGTGATGTAGTATGTGTGAAACATGAATGATTAACCTATTTTAAGCTGTATATTGGTCACAGGCAACCTTGATTATAGATAAGGTTCACCTTCATATACTTCCATCAATGAATCCTGATGGGTTTTCATTACGAAGGCGTGGTAATGCGAACAACATTGATTTAAATCGGGACTTTCCGGACCAGGTATGTCTTTGCTCATTGGTTCTCTGAGTTGTATGCAAAATTACCTGGTCTTACAGAACTATAAGATTTTGAGAGAGGAGGTGTTTCTAAACTACCTTTTTTTGTCCCTTTCATCTCCAAACTTTTTATTTTAGGACAAACTGGAATTAAAACTCTAAATTGGAGGATAACTGATACTCTGAACATCGTCCACGAATGCAGGTTCAAGGGCAAGTGTAAATTAAAATGAACATACAGAAAAACTACCTGTGAAGAATAAATTTCCATAAGATGTTCTGTGGTCCATTACGGCAGCCATATTTTCTGCCAGTTTCTATCATAAATATTGCTTTTGGAATGCTAGTATCAAGTTTAAAACAAAACATTTGTTGTTCTGAGAAAGACGAGGGTTCAATTGCACTTAAAGTTGTTTCAATTTTGTAATTGCAAAAGATTCCTCCTGGGAGATTTAAGGATTACGCTTACATCTCCTATGGTTTGCTAATTTATACGATTCCCTCTTCATAAATTTACATTGGAATCCAGCAATGGGAAATGCCGACTCCACTAAAGTATTTTCCACTAAAAATTTAAGAGTTAAATGAGATTCACATGCCATACCACAACCAAATTTGTGGTTTCAAGGTTTTTTGCATTGGATTGGACATCAATTAACAAGAGTTTGTCCATGATGATTTTGGCAACCCTTTTGGGAGTATTGTTTATCGTTTTGGCACATTGTTTCGAATTTCGATTACTTAAAAAATGTAAATATTTCAGAAATATTATGGAAATGGAGAAAACATTTGAGAATTTATTATTAAAATATTTCAAAGCATTGATCTAAATATATGTAAACATTTTGAGAAACCTCGAACTATTCCAAAATATTGCTGGAAACAAGCTGAAATATCTCAAAATAACTTGAAACATTTCGAAATATTTCAAAATATCTCAAAGCATTGGAAGTTCGATTTAATTATTGATTCGTTTCGGTCTCTTTGAAACAAAATATTTCTGCGATTTAGACACAATATTTTGATCCTTGGCAGGGGACGTAATTGAAGATTATTTACACACAATAACTTCTTGGTGACTTTGTCTAGATTTTGTTTGTAGTTCATCTAAATTGTCATAATGGCCGATTCAATAAGATTTTATTTTGACACTCGAAGTATGTAAGAATATAGTTTTACATCTTGTAGGTTTGGCCAATGATCAAAATTTTGTTTCAAAACGTTTTCGTTTCCAAGTAGACCAAAATGAATCAATAATGGAATCAAAATTCTAATACTTCGAGGTGTTTCGACATCTTTTCACCATTGTTTCAGGATGTTTCGATATATTTTGATGTGTTTCAACTAATATTTCAAAATATTTTGAAAATAAATTCATAATTTTTTTATTTGTTTCCATGATGTTATTGAAATATTTCCATTATGTTTTCATTTCTATGGCGACCGAAACGAATTTTGATACTTTGGTTTGGCGTACTTTATATTTGTTGTTATTTTCCCTAAGTCAAGTGATGAACAAATGAGAGAAATATTAGATTTATGAATTCTCTTAAGGAAATTACACTTATCAAATCGAGTCATACATACGATAATGTTTAGTAGTTGAGTTTTTGTTTTTTTTTTGGGTAAGTAGTAGTTGAGTTGTTAATGTAAATAAAAATTTAAACAGCACACATTTTCTCAAAAATAATTCAAAATCCTTGCTTCCACATTTATCTGATATTCTTAAACAATATCATAAATTTGAGAAATACATCATGATCTTCCCATTTAACATATGGAATGCAGTGTCTATTGTGATTCTTGAATTGCATCCCATTTAAACGGTTCTGATATATCTTTCAAGTTTCTTGATTGGAGATTTAGTTGGGAACAAATAAGGCTCACAATTAAATGTCATTATGACATCTTCGAAAAATGGATGTACAATTTCACTTGTTATTTTTTGTTCCCCACAATTGGTTTACCTGTTCTCTCTTTATTTGGAGTAACGGATTGTGAAATCACTGATTGACATGAAATGACAGTTCTTTCCTATGAATGATGATCTGGGCACGAGACAACCTGAAACAAAAGCAATTATAAGTTGGTTAAGAGAGATTCGATTCACAGCATCTGCCAGCCTGCATGGGGTAATACTTCTCAATTTCCCTTGCTATGACTGTAAGCATAATGGCATCACTTTCTGTGGTATTTGTGTCAGTTGTTAACAAGCTTCCTTTTGGATCTTATAAGTGTATTCATAGCAGAATTCATAGAAATTATCTTGATTTCAAAGCAAAAAGCACTATGTTTCTCCAACATATATGGATGACATGCACTGAATCATTTGTCTAGGATGTAGCTTTCAATCAGTCTGAGAAACAAATTTCTTTCAAGCAAGATTTTAAGTAATTCGATTCTTATGTCATTAATCATGTGTTTTAGTGACAGAAGTAGAGGAGAATCAGCAAACAAGAAAAGTGCCAGATTGAAGTGGAAAATATTAGTGCTTAGCATTTAATCTTGCATGGATGGTGAAAAATTGCCAAAGGATTTACTGACTTAATTTTATAAGTACTTATCTGGAAGGTAGTTGTAGTTCCACTTGATGACTAACATTAACCAATCATTGATCAAGGTTCAGTGAAAAATTCAATACAAAAATGGTGACGTGGGCAACCAAATTTTCCAAGAAATATGATAATAATAATTATATCATTTATGTATACATTATAGATCAGGTATTTTTTGAGTTTATATATACTATCAAAGGTATGAACAATAAAAACACATATAATCATATTTGTAGTGGTCTAAAGATGGTGGAAGGCATGAACAATTATTAATGTTTACAAAACATTTTTGTGGTTTTTGCGATTTGAGAATATCAGATGAAAATCAATTGTTTCCTTTTGATTAACAGAAACTTGGAATGATGTTCGGACATTCAATAATGGAATTCTAGTTGCTTCTTTGTGTTGTCAAATTGGTTTTATATGTTTGAATTTAGTCCAGTGGTCTTTATTATCTATTTGAGACAGATGTTCTGCTCACTTTGAAGATGCATCTACTATGAAACAGGTAATGATTGAAAACAAAATGGTTGCATCATGGCCTTTTTTTTTTGAGTTTTTTTTTCTCTTTGAATAAGAGAGTTCCTCATCATAGACCAGCTTATTCCTTCCTTTTGAACAGTAACTTGATTAGTTGACTACTTGACTTAAATTAGAGTCTGATCTTGAAGAGAAGTTGTGCTCATCAAAGTTAAGGGGTTTAAGAAACATAATTTTTTGGTTTCTAGTATTGGCTTATGATATCTCTGATGACTGAACATGGAGAGTGGTGTTCTGATAATGTCTCTTCTTGTTCACAGGGAGCACTTGTTGCCAATTATCCATGGGATGGAACGGAGAATAAACAGTGAGTTTCTTACATTATGTTATTCATCTACATCCATTATGCATTATATGAAAAGAGACTACATCCGTTTCCTGGGATTATGGTTCAATCATTCCAGTCCTTTCTTCAGTCATCCTTTGTCCTATCTTGATTTTATAATCTTGTGTTTTGGTGGAAATTGAACTAACGAACCCCCTATCAAATCCTAGTCGTTGTTTCACCAAGCTCAATCAAGTTAGTTTCATTAATCAATTGTTCTTAACTCATTTGAATTGGTTTTTGACCACTCCATCGATTTGTGGCTTATTGTGATTGTGGTTGTATATGGGTTTTAATATCTTTTTCTGATGTGTTCTCCAAGAGATGTTATTCATGGTGTGAGAGGGGTTAATTTAAGTCTACTCTGGTTCATTCTTTTGGGCTTTGGCTTTTATTAAATTTTGTCTTGAAAAAGTGAGCCAAAGAAGATTTCTTCTGCTTTTTTAGGGAATATTGGGCATTTGAATGCCTGGACTCTGATAAGCAAATATATTGAACACTTCTAGACTATCATATGTTCTTTACTAGTTGAATCTCTATGATATTTGAACACTTCTGATGGTGCTTGACATTATCCATGTTTGTTGATGCATCAGCTCGGGATGCACTCCATTGGTTGCTTAATTATCTCTTCAAGGAAATGCTTTTTTCACACTTAAAATTGTTCTTTATTGTGGATTAATTTCAGGAAAAATTACTATGCATGTCCTGATGATGAAACATTCAGATTCATGGCTAGTTTATACAGCCGCTCTCACTATAACATGTCTCTGAGCAAGGAATTTCGAGGAGGAATTACCAATGGAGCATTTTGGTATGGAAGCAAATCCTATGAACTTCATAATCAGTAAACTGTTTTAATTTAAAAAGCTTTCTAGGCTTTCCTCAGCTGCACCTTTTTTGTAGTCAATTAAGAAGTGACCAAGTCTTTTGAATTATTGGTTCTCTTTGATAATCTCTTCAATATGCTCTTCTTCTCTAGGTACCCAGTATATGGCGGCATGCAAGATTGGAACTACATACATGGTAGCTGTTTTGAATTGACCTTGGAGATCAGTGACAACAAATGGCCTGCTGCTAATGAGGTCAGACCTCGGTTTTAGTCATCTTTGCCTGAATTGTCTGCGTCTGCCTTATTTCCCAGTTGTAGTCCATGTCCTAGCTGGTCAGCCTAAGCTTCAAAACCACATTTGACGAACATAGTACCTGAAAATTTTTGCTGGCCCAACAATTTCACGAATATCTTTATTTTTCTTTTGTTGATGCTGGGGTGGTGGTGGACAGGGGGCAAAGCAAATGCAAGAGGAGGTGAGTATATGTTGGGAGGTTCATATGCCTAGTTGTCTTATTTTTTAAACTAGTTTAATTGAGTTCAAACTGATATGAACCGAACAAATTAGTGTCATGTGACATCAGTTGTGTATTTTGTTAACCCAATTTGGACCTGAAACTTTTGTATTTTTTGATAGAGTACATGTCAGCCATTGCATAGATATTTATATTTTATAATTATGTGCAGAAATTAACAAATCGCAGAACTTACATTGTCATTGTGGTTTGTTTGTTAAGTTGCTGGGTGACCAGGTTCATTCCCTTGGGACGGGGAATTTCCTACCTGCCGGGTACCGGTTTAAGCATTATTTGTCTTCTACATGTACATCCTATTAAATTAGGTAGTCTTTTAAGCATGACTTGATCCCCTTGGCTCTTTCAGTGATACTTTATTTACTCACAAAAAAATAAAATAATTGTCAACAAAAATATAATAAATTGTGAAGAGCGATAATGATGGACACTGTTTCATGTTGGCCCTCTTGGCTATATGCACGTGGTTTGAGTTTGGAAGGCATAGGTTACTTTCTCCAATTTTCTTTCTTATTTGACAGTTATCTAGTCAATTGTGTTGTCTTGTTCTTTAAAGGCTATACTGCATTCTTTTTCTCCGGCTTTAACATGGGTTGTAAATGTGCAGCTTCCTACTTTATGGGAGTTCAACAAAATGAGTATGCTAAATCTTGTTGCAAGTCTGGTGAAGGTAACCTGAATAATGCCATCATTGTGTCTGCCATGTGTATCAATAATCTCTCTTAATATTCATTTTCTTTGTAGTAAATTGTCTTTCAAGAGACTGTCATAACAGTCTCATATATCTCAGGAGAGGAAAAGCTTAGATGCTTCATCTATTCTGTGTCCATGCATACGACTTTTCTTTATTTTTTCATTTCTGTCAAGTAAGACCTGTACTGGTGATATATTTTTGCCCCTATTTTGTGTAAGCGCTCACGGTTTTATGTGAAGCTGGTCAATAACTTTGGAAGAATAATTTTTTTTATTGACAAATTCAATTATTTCTTATGCCTACGTGGGCTTTGGCAAGACTCGCTTCTATTCCACTACAGTCAAACCACAAGTATGCCTTTGTAGTATGTATAGCCTGTGGATTCGGAGGTTAAGCATATAATATTTGTTTCTTTTATACCTCTGCTTGGTTTCTGCGATAGTGGGAGCAAAGAAAGAAAAAATGGAAGTTAATTTATAGGAAACCTTTCTAATGAATTGTCCCTTTCTCAACAAGAATGCATCAACAAAACTACCCTTCCATATAGATTGTTGTGGCAGGAACTTTGTCAATAGATTCCTAGCTAACTCCTCTTCCTATTGATCTTGATTAGCTCGAGCTTAGTTTTGTTAAGAGTTCTCTTTCTGGACCGGACCCATTTTTAGACCGTCTCTTGAACCACCTGTGCATTTCTAACTATGTAGTGGTCTTGGTCAATGTTCTCTATCACATTTAATGTATTTTTCGGTAGGTATTATTTAATATCAAGTGCGTATTACTTTAAATGGTCGACATGGATTAAATTGTTATCCTAAATAGAAGATGGTCCTAGGTTAAGTTACTTATAGTCTTCAGCATCTTTCCATGAACATGTTTTTTTTTTTTTTTTTCCAAATCTGAACAGCCACATATGGGAAGCAATTGTTTATTAGAAAGCTAAGTTCTTAGTAAAGCAGAGAATTTGAATCTGTGGACATTTTGTGGCAACTGGATGCTCTTCATGATTTTGAATGCCCATTACTTCTAAGTATTAAATAGCAACAAACGCAAGTTTAAGTCGTGGTTCCCTTTTCCCGACATTTACAAGCGGCTATTGTATCTTCTCAGTGTTTCTGTAAAGTTGGATGTAGAGATTGTGAAATTATTCATTTATATGACTTCCCGATTACATAGACAGGAATACATGGAAGGATATTTTCATCAGATTGTGGAGGGCCTTTGCCTGCCTCTATTGCAATCAAGGGAATAAATTACTCCGTAAGTAAACTCTTGTTCATAGGATTCTATGTTTGTAAATGCACAGTGATATCTGATAAATAATTCCTGGTGGAAAGACATCTGTCGCTAACAAAATTTACTGACTTCTAGGTGCTGATAGCTGTAAATTTAGCAACGACTTGATTTCTCTGTTATATTTTCAAACTGTGTCCACTGATAGCCTGTGTTTGATTCTTCATTGACAGATTAAAGCTAGCCAAACATTTGCTGATTATCATCGCTTGCTAGCTCCCGGAGAGAGATACGAAGGTAAGTAGCATGACAACCAGTCCCAATCTCCATATTTTCTCCATGGTGGGGTGGCATATTTGTTGGAAATCCCCTAATATTTTTTTTATCTCACTGTCTGTTGATAACTTGATGATATGCAGATTTTGCTATTTCTAAATGGGTAATGGTAACTCTGATTTTAGTCTGTTTGTCAAGAAGTATTTCTGCTGTGTCTGTTCTAGTAAGCTTACAGTGTACAACATAATTCTGTAACTTACTTTTGTTTGCTTTTGTTGAATCCTCGATTTTATATTTTAAAACAATTAGATGGAAGTGATTTGACCATATTCTGGGTAAATGGTCAAAAGCCAAATTCTCAGAGCATGGCAAAATAACTTGTATACCCTTACACATTTCTATATCGTTTTAATCTTTAAAATAAACTAGTCTCTTGGTACGCAAAAACACTGAAATATTAAACAAGATGACAGGTATCATTATCTTTTAATACTATAATGGTAGCATGGTTAGCTGTTGCACTTCAGTTATAAACTTTAATTTTTTCAGAAAATTAGTCCGAAACTTTTAAGGGGCTGTGAAACAATGGAATGTGTGATATCTCATTCTTGATATCTCTGTCTCTCTTTCTCTAACACACTGTGATGACTATCGTTGTGTAATCCGAAAGAATGTAAAGTTCGAAGAAAGGCGGAGCACTACAAATATTTATATCTAGCAATATAGTTTTGTTCCTTGAAGCTTTCATATTCACATCATGTTAACTTTTTGACCCAAATTTTTTTATCCAATCTAAAATCGACAGATATAGCATCATTTCACCTTATATTCTTATTGGAGAAGAAAACAGTATATCAAAACACTGATGAAAAAAAAATTTACAGGACAATCTTACAAATACAAAAGTACTTTGTATGGATTAGATTATTGGCTTTTACAACAGAAAATTAGTTTGAGATACTGGCATTAAATGATGTAAATGAGCATTATATTGTGTTACAGAAGAGTATTATTCTACATTGTGAGCCAGATTTCCTAGTGATAATAGAGGCTGAATGGTATTAGTAGGAAGAAGCTATGGAGCGCAAAGATACAGATGCTTTCCGTTATCCCTCTCATTGACAATTATGGAGGAAAACAAGGCATGCGAATCTTGGTAGCCAATACTTCATAGTGAATAACATATTATTGTGAAGACCATGTACGGTTAACGATGCCCCTTAATATCTAGAACAATATAAGAGGATAACAAGATGATTGGAATTTAGACAGTGAAAATAAAGCAACGCATAGCAGCATTTCATGTAGCTAGAGATAAATATAGATTGAATGTGAGGGTATGCTTAATCTGTGTGCATAAAAGCATGTCTCGTTCTTTAGTTTTGGAGATGCTCATATGGTTTGTGAATAAACTTCTAAGTTTGGCCTAACATCTTTGCCTTATAGTGATAGCGACTATGCCTGGATACAAGTCAAAGAGGACATCCATTACACTGGGAGATGAAACCATGACGGTGGATTTTGTTCTTGATCCAGAAAACGCTCTCAAGGGTAGCCTTTTACGACATGGCTGTGATTGTGGCTCTGATAACAAGAGCAGGCGCACATTCATCGAGTTTTTGCCGGGGCCCTACTTGGAGGTTTCTGCAATTTTGATTCTAATTTTGGCATTCCTTTGCTTTGTATTGAAGAGGAGAGCTATATATAACCATTTGAAACAGAGACAGTTCGTAGGACCGAAGCGGTCCGTCGTGGTCTGATGTTCTTTACGTGCACCATTTACAAGCGCTAACTGTATTGTATATTTGTAGATGATTTCCTCTCCTTTTTGGTATCGGATTTCAGTTTAGAGTGATTACATTTACAAGCTTAGAGTGATTACATTTTCCAATCTTTTGGATTCCCATAAATTGTATCCCTCAGTATAGGAAAAAAAATGTTTGATGTTACGGTACGGCATTACATTCACCTGGTGTTACTATCCAATTAAAATGTAACAGGTAAGCAAGTGAATTTTACGTAATGTAGTAACTGCTCTTTACAGGAAATATAATATCTCCTCATATATAGAAGTGAGATTCACCTTGTCTATTAGTTTGTTTTTGTTTTTTATTGAATGGTGACACCAGGGGACAATATCATTGTTATATTAAATGTTTACTCTGGAGGCTTAATCAATGTGTATGCCAAACCACTTTCCCCCCAAAAAAAAAAAATGTGTATGCCAAACTAAGGATGATATATTGGCCAAAATCGGAACTATCATTTGAACCGTGAAAGAAATAATCGCACAATTTAAAATCACGAAAGAAAAAACATGAACTAAACTTTTGTGAATGACAATTGGTAATTCGTTAAAGCGATATATCGTAGGTTTTGAGTTATTCTCGAATTGTTAAAATGGAGATAAAAGTTATTTATCATCATTTCTCGAATCCCATTATAGGTGGTACTCATACGACTATGCCTGAAATATAACCATGCATCGAGTGTATTGGTTGCCAATGTACTTGCACATGGCAACATAAACACATGAAGCCATACACAAGATGATGAGAAGGATTTAGATTCTTTTGAGTACTAGATTTCCTCAATTCTAAAGCACACACCATGAGTCTGAGTGGGTCTAGCTTGAACATACAGTGGGACAAACAGAAAGAATACATTAATAGAAGGTATAGACATTGCACAACAAGCAAACATTGTTCCAATGAGGACCTTGTTGCCGCTTTGACTATTTTTTTTGGGGGGAATGAGGTTGGAACCTGCAATCCTTTGTCGACGAGAGTAAGCCCTTACCATTGAGCCACTCTCTCACCTCACTTTGATCACTTTGATCAAGTAATCAGGGGTTCTTTCCCGACACTGGTGAAGCACATTATGTTACAGGCAAACTGTAATTCAATCCTCAACTTTATTGAATCTGATGCAACAAAACAAAATCTAATATAGTAATGTGTCTGGATATTTAGATACAGAACCTAGTACCTACATCTCAATGCGTTCTTGAATATGACTTTGGTTCTTGAAAGGTCAACGGACATGACCATTTTGGATGTTGATGACACACACATTAGCTAAACAATTATTGTATGATCAGCTCGTAATCAACCAATGATTGATTGTAATCTTCCCATATTTTCAGCACGATATTCCTCCGAGACTAACTTCTTGATCATGTTCAGCAAAAAATTGAAGTCATCATCCCTCTTGAGAAGGCTGAGACGTACATAGCGACTCCCAGTGTTGAACATGGTACCCTCACGACCAATGATATTTGCTGATCGCAGAACAACAGCACAATCTCCGTCTTCTTCCCTCTCACATTTCAACCAGGCATAAGCTGCCATGAGTGTAAATATTGTCAGTTTGTTACTATTGGAAATCTGGTATATCAGAGCTCTGCTTGCTTGATGTCAACCAACTTTCTCAGAACAAAAAGACACTAACATTTTATATTTTATACATTGGACTTTAAATCTCCATGTGGCTTGTGAAAAATAACAAAGAAAGAAAGATTTATAAAGTGAGAGTAAATGTGTCAATCATGGAAATTAATGGTATTGTGACGCGGACTCAAAACAATATAGAGGACAAATAATTTGAAGTCGATATAGCTGTAAATTATTTTGAGGCTGATATAACTATATACTTGTTGATGACGAAATGATAGTATAGATTTCTTGCTGCTGATCGATTTTCTGATGCTATCTCCCGTTGTAGTTGTGAATTGATTGGGCAAATAGTGAATTTGCAAAGNACGAAATGATAGTATAGATTTCTTGCTGCTGATCGATTTTCTGATGCTATCTCCCGTTGTAGTTGTGAATTGATTGGGCAAATAGTGAATTTGCAAAGTTTGTAAGAGAACAAAGTACGAATTTTTGATTGAACTTATGAAGATCCAAGTGAAAAGATACACGAACGTGTTTCAACANAGTTTGTAAGAGAACAAAGTACGAATTTTTGATTGAACTTATGAAGATCCAAGTGAACAGATACACGAAAGTGTTTCAACGTCACAGTTAAAATCAAATTGAAATTTAAATACATAGGAAATTACCTGGAGAGGGTCCTCTGACTTTCTGATAAAAAGTGCAGTACTGTGGTGCAATTACTTGTAGGGAAAAACGTTTTGACGTCGATAAGGTCTTGCTCAATTTTTCCCAGCGGTCTCTCATTCTATGGAATGCAAAATCAAATATTTGCCTTGCATCTCCTTCCAGGACTACTTTCAGAAGCTGTAACGCTCTTAGCTGTGTATCCTTAGAGGTTACCAATTCGGACATGGATATATATTCCAGCATTCTTTGGTACACAGCCTCATCCTTTACCAATGCCCACCTAGACGAGAAATAGCAGTGTGATCAACTCAAATTTTCTTCTAGTAGTAGTGGAAGTAGTTACACACTAAATAGTAAGTGCCGCACAGGCAAAACTTGAAATTTTCTTTCTAGTAGTAGTGGAAGTAGTTACACACTACAAAGTAAGTGCAGCAGCATTGGCATTGATCAACTGATACCATCTGGTTGAATAATTATTCAGCAGAAAAACCTCAAAGATGTAATTAAGTTTGCCTCAATGAAGTGTGTATCTTACTGCGCACATTCTCAAACATACACATGTTTATATGAATGCGTGTTCTATAATCATTTGGAAATCTTGGAAACTTTTGTCACGCCGNTGTTTATATGAATGCGTGTTCTATAATCATTTGGAAATCTTGGAAACTTTTGTCACGATCTATTTCAACCATCTTGATGTTTTAGTTTTCACATTAATAAATAAGATTTTGACGATCACGGTAAGTTGCCTATGGTTGAGATTAAGAAAAACAGATGATTATTAGTTGAGAGTAGAAATTATGAGATACATTTTATACAATGAATGGAGATTATTGTGTCCTTGAATTCTCTTTCCTCGAGAGCATCAAGCAAAAAAAAAACACATTTTGCAGAATTCTGCTCTTAGTTTCAAAGAGTAATTATCATGTGCGAAAAAAGAGAAGAATTTGAAGTTACCCAAATCTAGTTCCGGCATGGCCAGTGAGCTTAGAAATTGTAAAAATCATGAGATCTTCATCTGCTGGAGCTGGAATTGCAGAATAATGTGGCCAATAATAGGCGTGATCATGAATGGTTCTCACAGATGGACCATTAAGAACCGCCTTCCTCAATTGACAATCTGGATTGTTTGGTGAAGTTACAAACTCAATGATTCTTGAGGTGGTATCCGAAGTATTGTTCAACAAGGATGCATCCCCTTCAAACTCAAAATCAACTGCTCGGAAATAGTCTACTTGTTGTTTATAAAGCTGTGAAAGTTTGAGAAAATTCAACTTCAAAACTCTATAGCAGTATGTCATAAACTGTTGGAACACCAAAACTGTGTGGTAGACAAAACAAACCGGGTAATAAGGTGTTGAAGCAACAACTTTTGCAGGTGAAGATGAGTTCCCTGTGGAAAGGGCATAAACTGCTGCGCCAAGGAGATGGGTTGAGCCAGCTCCAACAACAATGTATCTTCCATCTGTAACTGCATTTCCGGCAATGGCATGTACTTTGCGGATGTGCTTCTCCAGTTCTTGTGAAATGACAGAACCGTCACTAAATCGGTAGCTCATTCGATGCCAACCAGCCACTAAGACTGCACTACTAGCTGCATGTTTCATCCAGAAAGGCTCCAAGTACAATGGATCCCCACTGCAATCAAGATTACCCTCATAATAATTAGTTCTGAAAAAACATTACCCTGGTAGTGAGACCAAGCTGCGAGTCACTACAGGCTTCTGGGGCATGAGGCAATCCCTCATCCCCAGGCGATTGGGCTTTTGTTTGTAAGAGACATGAATTGCATGGTGCAACTAAACACAAAAATAAAGAAGAAACTGGAGGTGAGGCTTATTGAGAGCTTGGTGTATGCTTGTAGTAGTATTGCAGTTGATTTTGTTCGTTGATACTTGGGGTGTCATTGTGATTGATGTGGTTCGCACATGAGGGAGAGGATATCGGCGTCAAGTATGGGTGTCAAATTGCACTTCCAACATATAATGAATATTATGCTAGAAATGGACTAATCTATATAGAATAATTCATTACTTACGCTAACTTTTGTGACTTCTCATAAGGAACCCAAAAGAATTTCTTTGTCCCAGCTTGGAATCTAGTATATTTACTCATTATGTGGCCTAACTCAGAAGCAGATACACTTAAATTTACTTGATAAGAATTCAAACCCATACTGTTTAACTGATAAAATTTCAAAGCTCTCTTTTCCTTGCACCATTTTGCCAGTTTTTTGGTCTATATGTGACTAGTAATAGGCTGGCATGCCTGAGGAATTGACCAGCTCTAAGTTTTTAAGTTTGAACATCATTAAGAAATGGGTGTTCTTCACCAATAGAAATCATGGTTGACTTTTTGAATGTTTGCATACAAAAAATAAAAAATTAAGACTTCTTAGATACTCAAGTGATTTTTTCATCAATAAATGCTATGCTGACCAAATTTTGGAATTAAATGACATGACAACCGACTTGATCTTCATTATTTGGTGTCATGTTATTTGAGCCCCAATAAAGACTCTAAATTGGCAAATAATATGCTGCCAATATCATTTGACCTCCAAATTTAATCTCAAAATTTGATCAGCATTTATGTTTTTTCATAGAGGTGGATGTTATGATCTCTTGTTATTGATTAATATGCAATAACGGTGGACGGCCCATAATTGAATATTTGGGAAGTTGAATTTTGAAGACATGTTTTTAGAGAGAGCATTTTGAACAATAGAGAGAAGTTACTCTTAGAAATTGTGAAGATCACTTCATAAATCTATATCAAATTGATAGATTTTCTGAGCATTAAGCGACGGATAAACGATGTTCATCCCAACCACCATAATTATGAATGAAGTTATGGTATGTGTGCGTGCAAGATCCTGCACAATATAAAAAACGAGAACAGATCTCTCCCTTGGTGAACTCGAGTGAGCCAGTTGAGTGACCAACCACACTGCCTGGAACAGCTTGCGAGGTCCGGTGGTAACCTGGAACGGCAACGGGAGACCCTGGGGGAGCGGAAGAAAGATCCAGTAAGGCTAAAAGAGGTTCCTGGAACAAAGAAGAACAAGTTAGAAGGGCGCCGGAGTGTTTTTCGGCGTATCCCCTCCGACGATCTAGTCAGTCTTTGAGAAAGAGAGGAAGGAGAAAACACTGAGAGTGTATTGTAGTAAAGAGTTTTTTTGTTGCATACCCGTCTTGCCTTTTGCAAGGAGTATTTATACCTCAAAAGCTCATGATTGCTGTCAGTGTAGTCAGTAGGTGATCATTAGGTACAGGCTGTGTGCGCACTGATTCTGATGAGGAATATCTTCTCTTCTTAACTGCTCGGGGTCCCGAGCAATCAATGCTGGGTCATCGGGATGCCGACGGTACAATGTACTCCTCTCGGGGAGGATGCAATAAATGCTCTGTATTAGGAGCATTTATTGCCTTTCATTTCCGAGCCTTACCGCATTGAATGCGGTCTCATCAAGGGAATGGTGTAATTAAT